AAAAGCATTAGCATTTCTCATTCTTATCATCTCATTCTCATAATGTAACAGTAAATCCTACACACAAAACTGCTCAAAAAAAAATCACTAGGAAGGATACTGGGAAAAGAAGCCTGAAAATATAATCACCTACTCCACAGCAGCTGTCAGTCACACATGTGTCTTCAATATATTTATGGCATTTGTCTTTCACCACCGTTGTCACAGTGCCTCCCTGACTCATGTTATGTTTGTAGCTCACCTGAGGGACAAAGAGGTGTTATTTCCCATTTTAGTGAAGGGAAACAGAGAGCAGGGGTGGTGTTATCTTGTCAGGTATCTAATACTGCCTTCCATGAGCAGTTTGCAAAAGTTAGAAGGTACAAAACCCGTACAGGAAACTCTTACATGAAGTCTGAACAAGGCTGTGTAGCTTGCACAAGTAGCCACATTCTCCCAGCTCTTCCAGTTGCTACAAGTAGTATGAACAGTGTGGTCACAGAAGACATCTGTGATAGAAAAGAAACCAAATCAGATCATTAAATTTAGTCCTCAGATGCTGAATCATCTGTACATTTTGTATCATTCAACATTTCACTCGTTCTCTGCTTCCATGTCAGGAAATGCACTTATAGGCCTGTAGGTTTACCCGTTACCTCTCCTCTAGCTCCCAGTCCCATGATCTTATAAAAAGATGAAAGGGTTGTCTTACCTCAGTCTTCTTTTTTGGCCTATTCTTGCTTCTACCTGATGGTCACACTGCTGTACAAAGCCCCTACACATGAGGAAGAGATACTTGTCCTTTACAGAATAGCAGAACAAATTCCTAAATGAGTGTGAGGAATTACAGAAGAAGATAAAGCAGGAATCTGAGGGCGAAATGACACCACTTCCACATGAACATTGCCAACTCTACTGTTCGGAGAATGTCAACTGGCTTAAAAGTTAACAACAACAACAACAAAATCAATCTTAGTTTAAATCCTATTTTCTATTTTTGCCAGGTTTTATATCCACTCAAGGCTTGAGTATTTTGTAAATATATTTTTCAATCCATGCAAATGCCAACAGTCATGAGAAACCTCTTTGTTCTTTTGTTTTCAAGTAAAACACCAAACATGACCACAAAGAGTAAGAAACAGGCAGAATCAGAACATACTCAGTCTATTCCTTTTCAGTTCAGACAGGAAAGAACTAAGCAAGAATCCACACAGTCACAAGATCTGCGAATATTTCTTTTTAATTTAAAACAGATGCAACAATGTCATTCACAACCTTTCATCTCAGACAAATACTCTCCAAAACATTAACAGTGCTTCAAGAAAACAACTCTGAATGGTGCATAGTAAACCAGTACAGACACTGGATATAACAGTAAAACCACTGAAGAGTGAGTATCTCAGCCATTAAGGTAGGAAAGATGATGGGAAAAGAACAAAACATTCTGTCCAGTTACACATTTTGCATAGTCTTTCAATGCATCAAAACAGCAATGAACAATGGCTGCTGCCAGGATGGAGAACAGAAGGAATGAATTGGAGATGCTTCTAAAACTACCTAACGAGTTCTGGTTGCATCCATATTCAGAATGTGCACCACGACCCAGAGGAGGCTGCCTGGATCCAAGGAAATGGACTGGTTCTGGCTTCAGTGACACCAGAGTCAGTCAGAAGTATTGCTACTGAACCCAGTAGAATTACAAGTGATAGTAGTCCAGAAATATCTAGGCTTGTTTTTAAACCATAGCTTTGAATAACTTAAATTTTTATCCTAATTACAGGATATCCTAATTATAGCTAGGAAGATTAAATAGAGTCTGTGTCTAGATGTGTTTTGGAGATTTGAGATTGTGACTCAGAATGGATCTTGCATGCTGCTAGGAATTTGCTGCCAAGCCCTGGCTTGCCATAATTCTCAGGTTAGATTGTCTCAAACAGCTCACAGTGATTTCTCTTGCTACATCCTGTTTTGTCAAGAAGCTCTCAGCACACCTAACCCCCCAACAGGTCTTACAGTACCCAGAAACATGATGTTTCCTCATCAGCCACTGCCCATGTTGTGCACTCAGGCCTGGCTCAGCGCAATTAAGTGCATACAAATTTTAGCAGGCAAAGCCTGATAAATTACTCATCTATTCAGTAGAGTCTGTTTGATTGTGGCCTCGGCATGTTGGAGTTTAAAAAACCAAACATAACCAGACTTCTCTCCCCCACATTAGGCTGAAGAGCCAGCAGTTTACATCCTGCTCCTCCAGATTCACCATGTTGTGTTGTCACACATATCTCACCACGAAACTGAGATGACTTAACTGGCCATTTGAAAAAGGAGGGAACCCACTACTTTGGGAGATAAATTCCTCAAACAACTGAAGAACTTTAACATATTTTCAAGTGCTAAAATTTAGCTGATCCATAAGCCTTTCTGCTCCCTGCACTTCTGACCTGCTTGGTAGTCCAGGCAGTCAGTATGTAAGAGTGGTGAACTGAAAGAATTCCAGAAGCTGAGCTGCCACAGTTCACCCACCACAGCCAGCAAATGGCTCTCCTTTCATTCACCATGTTTTCACTTTATCACCTGCCAGCTTCTAACTGTGCCTCCAATTAACTGGGAGAAACTAGTCCCACAGCCATTCCAGATTTAGCATGTACCAGAGAAATGGTTTGCAAGAGCCCAAGCTCCATCCTTAGTCCTATGAGATCAGCCATGTTTCCAGTGTAATAATGAACACAGGAACAACCTTGTTGACCTAATTTATTTACCTAAGGTTTCTAAATTAAAAAGCAGTGGCCACCAGACCTTGTTAGTTTATAAATAACCCTTTCAGATCATGAGGCAAGAGGGAAGTGGTTGCATTGATCTTCCTTGGAATTTAACTAGGCTTTCAAAATATATAGATATATTTAATATAAAAGGCCTTTTGTCCTTTTTCTTCTGCCAAAATGAAAAAGTACAAACAGATATACAGACTAATTCCACTAATTCCAGCCCTAATCCAGTCCTTTCACTTTAAATAGAAGATGTATCACTGCATAATTTGCTGATCCCATTTTCAAATCTGGCCTTTTCTGGTTGAAATACACAAATTCTGAAATACTGGAAGAAGGAAAAAAAATACTGGCAGCTTTTATTTTGTCCAGAACTCAATGGCTCAATAATTACAAGGCAGCTGAATCTCACAGGAGCCACTTACTAACATGCTAGGACATAATCCTTTTGTGTCAATAAGAGCTCTAAGTGCAGGAAGCTTTCCCAGCAATTAGGCACCATTTACAATCTACAGAATTATTGCACTAAAATTTCTCTCATAATCTTTTAAGATAAAAAACTGATAGAAAAAGAAATCAGCAGGGGTTATTTGGTTCTGCATGAGATATGACCAGAGGGAAAACTATTTTTCCTCAAATACAGGAAAAATAAAATTCCCTAATTGATTTTTTTTTCTGGGGGGGAGGAAGGGGTTATCTTCACTGTAATGTGTAGCTGCCTGAATTTTGCTATTAAGCTTGCAGGCACTGACTACTGATAAAATGTAATTGCACCTCCATAACCATACTTGGTTCCCTGCCTCAATTGCACTCTGTAAGGAGGATTTATATATTTTTTAATGTTTCAATTCATTTTGGTTGCTCAGTAAGGTTATATGAGGCAACTCCAGCAACAGTCACTAAGCAGTGGCCAACACTGAAACTTTGAGGGGTTTTTTTTGAATCATTAAATGTTTTGCACTCACCATTGTATTTTTTCTAGAGTTAGTGTTTTCAAATTTAAATCCCCAAATATGCATTGCCAGTGACACCAACTGAAATAACATCAAAAAAAGAAAGACAGGAAGGCCAGCCTCTACTTACCCACCCTTAATCCCTGTTGGAGATACAAAACCCCTTTTAGAAGGTGTCTACTGAAGAGATCAGATTACTGGAGTGTTTGCAAGTTTTAAGAAATCCGAAGCATCATTTCAAGGTGTTGGGTTTATTTGTTGTTGCATTTCTGGTGGAGATTTTGGGTTTGTTTTGTTTGGGTTTTGTTGTTTGTTTTTTTCTTAAAGGAAGGAAGGAGAGAAGAGCAAATCAATAAATCTGCAATTTTACTAAGCAATTTTCCACACTCACGGATGGCACTAAATATCTAAGCAATCTTTGGCAGAAAATAGAATTGCACTGTGAGTACTTTGTCAGGCAGTTGATTTCAGCTCAAATGTGAGTGGTCTAGATGTAAAGTTCCCTGAAATAAATATAATGGGATATTAACCCCCTCTTTACCTCCTTCATAAGAAACCAAGATTTAAATACTCTTGCCTTTTCTGAGGGTATGCTTTTTTTTAGCCATCTGTAATCCTGAATCCAATGGAAGAACTTGCAAAGCAAACATTCATGAGAAGATGAAGAAACCTATGTCCGCAAAAATAAAACCTACTGTTTCTCTTTGGCAGGAAACATACAGGCCAAGTGATAGGAGTTCACTTCCATCTCCATTAGTTTTGTACTTTAGGCATTAAAAAGGCAAGTGAAAATACTATAAAACTGGACTCTAACAGAGATAACTTTAGCTGACTTCTTCACTGTACTAAAAACAGTCTCAAAATATTCTGCTTTGAAGAACACTCCCACAGCCCCTCCCTCCAACATTATATGTAATATGATTTTCTGGACTCTGGTTGAAAACACTGGCTCTCAGTTACCAAAGATGTAAATATTTCTTCGTGGTCTTCAACAGATGCATGGACAGAACAGGCAGGAGCTGGGCTGAACTGGTTTCTTTTTGTTCAACTCTGAAACTTCCATATTCTCCATATACTAGCTGCAAATTCCACCAGTAATCTGCATGGTCTTAAGGTATTCTTTAAGGTCTATAAATTTAAAACAATGTACTATACCTAATAGAAACTTTCCCTCTAACACTTAAGGCAGCACCAAATGACTGTTTTTAAATAAACTGTAATTATCCCATGTTTTCCTTTGCTTTTTGACAGTCCAAGGGTTAGAGGTCTTTTGTTGGTTTTAGATTTTCTTTTTTATTGTACACTTTTTGGGGGCAGGCTAAAAAGGCTTATGGCTTCTTAAGGCCAGGGAACAGATTTGAGGCCTAACTTGGTACCCTGTGGTAAAAATAAATGTAGCCCAGGTCTTTGGGGGGTCGTTCTGAGGCACAGACTTTAAGGTCATTGTAGATCACCCATCTGAAATGGAAACAAGATTTATTACATTCTGTGTATGTAAAAATCATCACAAGTTTATCAGGGCCTTCTCAGACCCAAGCTTTCAAAGAACATAAGGTGTAAAATTAGGCATTACAACAAGAAAAAGAGCTCAGAGAAAGAGCTGAAGCAGGTTTACTGGCAGGGTCTGGAACTGAAGAGGGACATGCAGAGCAATGTGAAGTTACAGCTCTAAGGAAGGAAAATCAGGATCAAATAATAGGAACATATAAAAATCACAGCCAAGATCAGCACCACGATATTAGCAACACCAGTAGCAGCCCACAGTCTTATGGGTTTATAATGACAGGGAATGAAGGGAAGTTATGGGCAAGCTTGGATAAATAAAGACAGATACAGAACTGATGCCCAGAAACAAACAGAGAACTGCAAGCACAGGAGAGCAAATGATACATTTTAGATTAGACCTCACTGGAACCAGAACTGACTCATCACATCTACAACCTGTAACAACCTAAATTTTGGGGGGAATTTGTATACATGGTAACAACATGCATGTTTTCTCTACCATTAATAGACTCCCTGCTCTGTACAGATGCACACTTCAAAGAAAACATTAAACATTTGCTCATCCTGGTGTGTCTCCCCCAGTTCTACCTACCTTCCTTCTTTTTTGAGATGACAAACATAGTGGCCACTCATTGTGGATGTTCCCATGTGACTGATAAACCCAAACAGCTCATATCCTGTTTAAGAAATACAAATGGGACCATAAGTCTTTTGTTGCTACCATTGCACTATGACTCCAGGAGAAACTTCTTTCTAATACTGGGGAAGCAGATAAGCACACCTAGCTCAGACCCTGAATCCCCAAACACAGCTCCTGTTAAGACTGCAGTATATTCTTGCTTCAACTAGTAGCCAGGTTCATTGTCAAACATCAAATCAAACCCACACAGATGTGCACAGATGCACATACATACAGGCCCTTCTAGGAAAGGAAAACAGTAGGTTCATCCCTAGTTCACAGAGAGCACCACAGGAAGTGCCAGATAGAGAGTTCATTCTACACAGCAATTAGCTGTGTGTATAAGTGTGATCACCAATCACCTATAAAGTCAAACAAGACCCAGAAATTTGTATTTCAGCAGCCCATAAAAGAAAAAACAAGAAAGAAAACTCTTCCTTTAACATGCAGAAAATTTTTGTGTTTAATGTCTCTGGAGAACTCAGCATTGGTTCTTGCTCCCCACCCATTCATGCCATTCATCCAAATTACAATGAAAAGTAAAAGGGTACCTTATTTCAGGACATTGCATAAGGACAGGGGCCTGGATTTTGGTGGAGCCATTTTACAGTATCATGTTGGTTATCAGGATTTCAGGCACTCAGTAAATGATCTCAAGTCTATAAAGGCTGAGTACCACAAAAAATAATTATTCCAAATGTTATGTTTTTGAAAAAAAAAGACAAATAATGTTTCCCATGTCTCCACAAGACTTAAGATTGTTCTTTATAATATTAGAAACAAACAAAAAATTATTGTTCTTATGTAATAACAGCAACCACAGAAATAAAAATCAAATTGGCTGTTCGTTTTTTCTTGTAAGACTATTACAGTCAAGATCAGGGGTACAAGCTTGGAACACACAGCAGTTATTAGAATTGGTCACTAAAGACCTGTCAAAAACTAATGCAACATCTTTTGTTAGAACCACAGCTCAGCTTTTGTACTCTACTGCTTTAACACTTAAAAAGGTTTTTTGCTTACTTCACAACCTTGACTGCTGTACATTAGCCCCATCTTGTGGTTTATTTAGCTGTAGAATGAATGATCATCTCAAAGAAAAAAAATCAAGAAAAAATAGCAAAACAATACATGCAGGATACCAACTGTAACTGCCATATTTAGAATAAGGAACTTGGTTCAAGGGCTTACCAAATCTCCCATCAGACCATGGGAGGACAAACTCAGGTGTTCTGTAACAGCAGCATTATTTTTAGGATGCTCAGCCTCTGAAGATTTAAACGTTCTAGATTTTTTATGTCTTTTGCTCTAATAGCAACCAAAAAAGAAATAGGCCAGGAGAGACTTATATTCTGTGGCAAAAAAAAAACCACAACAACTTGGATTCAGGCTACTCAGTCCAGGGGAAGAGTTTTCTGAGCAAACACAGCTTACAAGATTTATCAGCCCCAGAAGCAAGATTGGAAGTCTTGGACAATGTCAAAAACGCCATAGCTACTTCTTTGGAAACAGCAAGGAGCTCTATGAGTGGTGTAGGTGTGACACAGCAACACCACAGCCAGCTCTAACCTGAAGGAGAACTTACTTCCAGACCCATCTTTGATCCTGGGTCCCTCCAACCCTGTCTCTGCAAGGATATTGGCATTAGCATTATTCTCCCTATCCATCATGTCCAAAGCCGGTTCATTTTCTTCCTCAAGTTCTGGGTGGCTGAAGATCCATTCTAGTGCACGCTCCAGATTACTGTTCTGCAAGTCAAAGAAGCAAAAGAGCAGCCTTTAACACGTTCTTCAGCATCATGTTACCAGCCCTCAGTCTTTGAACTGAGTAAGCATCATCTTTGACAGCACTTGAACCTTGTAAGATACATCATCTCCCTGGGAAATAGTATTCAGCAAGTATTCTGCAGAAGCTTGGCAGATGGAAAAGAAATCCTCCTACAATTAATGCCCATCACCCTTGGTTTCTCATCTTGAAGATGCAGAGTCTTTAGGCATCCTGGTTGTTTCTCAACAGATGATAAAAGCAGCTATTTTTTTCCCCACTTTCCTCTGTATTTTAACACTCAAATGAAACACAAACCACCTTCCACACTCCAATCCAGACAAATCAGGCATCCCGCATCTGCCCAGAATATTTCTACATGCATCACCCACTAACTAGATTTTTATACACATTTCCAAGGTATCTGTGCATGCATGTGTACAAAGCACAGAATATGAAATGAAACACAAGTGCTACCAGTAACTCATGGGACTCACTGTTGCCTTCAGCGCTTGAACTGCTACATTCCTTTGGAAGCCCATTGAAATTATAATTGCAACCATCTCTTCAGGAGGTTGGTTATCTAGTCCAACAGCTCCAAATGCAGCTGCTCCACTGGAAGCAGCTTCTCCAAATGCAGGTATGACCAATGGCTCTGCAAAGTCTGGAACAAACAAACCTTCATCAGTTCATTCTTTCACGCCTGTGGACTGGAAAGTCAACAACAAACACAAACAACAAAAAGGACCTCAAAAGCAGTACTGAAATCAACATAAGTTCATTTCACTGGCCCAGTTGAGATTTAGATGTGCAGAAAACCTTAAAAAGAACAAGATAAACATGCACGGGAGAAAATGTTTAGATGGAAGAACACAAACTGAGCAGGCTGGAACAACTTGGCACATTACAGAAGTAAAATGACTGCAGGAAATTGGCAAAGATGAGTATGGAAGCAAAGATGATACCAGAATAGAAGACAACCCAGCTGATAAACATATAGGTGTAAAATTAACTAATTCCATAGCTGAAATATGCCAGTTAAGCCAAATCAAAACTCATTCTCCATTTACACAAGCAATACAACTCCACAATGAAGTGTGAACTTCACCAAATTTGGAGTTTCCTGGCAAGGGAAACCAGTGCTGAACCATGGGTCCAAACTTTGCATGGATGAAACAGAAGAAATGGAGAACATCTAGCAGCCCTGTCTATCAATAGATAGCCCATGTTCTAAGTATGGCATAAATACTCTAGCCTGAGCTAGAGAAAGCTGATATGGAAGAAAAGCATCTGGACCACAGGATTCTTTATACTTACACTTGACCACAAGTCAGCTTCCCCTTTAGCAGCACAGACCTAGCCAAAGGGTGGAAAACAGAGAGCTGGCCCACACCATTAGTGAGGACAAGAGAGTATACTTCTGGTAGAGCTTAGGTTTGTTGTCTTCTTCTAGGCAGAAGATGCCACAAAATGGGCAAGATCTACACATTTCAGGAACAGCTTAGGAAAATTCACTCACACCTCCAGGTTTTCTGGGGTGCAGAAGGGGCCACTGTTTCACTGATTTTTACTGTCTGCCAAAACAAACAACCACAAGTTGAGTTTAACTTACATCTTCCAGTCACTGACCTGGTTCTTCCATGTGTGCAATGATCCAATTGAAAGCAACTTCAGGTCCCAGGTTGCCCGTATAATACACAGCTTTCCGACATGCTTCCAAAGGAAAACCCATCTCTGCCAGTTGCATAACTGAAGATTCATCAATATCTAGAGCTACAAGAAAGGACCTTCTAAAATATAAAAGTCTAATTTCACCCATGGTGTAGCATTTCTTGCTGTCATTCATGATGGCAGATATTACAACACATATCTCTTGGATTTTAGTACTGCAATAAACCCACACCCATTTGAAAGCCACCTTGTACAAAGCATTATAGCATTTATTATGAGCTTACTGGTAATATTTTTCTCAGTAATCTACATAGACCCTTAAACATCAATGAAGTCCTACAGAACTTTATTTTTAAAAAAGTTATAAAAAAAAAATATCAACTAGACCTCAGCTGTGACCCCCAGGACTGAAAGATCCAGCTGATGAGCAGTAGAGCTCATATTCTGGCTGTGCTGATGCTACTGCAGATACTTAAGAGTCCTGCACACATGCAACTAAACACTAAACACGTACAGCTGTCATTTAGAAGCACACAGGGCAATATTCCATACATGGCAATATTCCATGCATCTCTTTGAAGACAGAGAAGCCGTTAGCTGAACAGAAGCATGACAATTTTTTATGCAGCTGAAATACCAGTCTCCAAAAAATGAGATACGTACACTCCATCAAATGGTTTGTCATCCGATCTGGAAATTGAGAAAGAAAACAAAAATCAGGGAAAAGGACTTATATAAAGCCTAAGTAGATTCATGTGGGAAAAACAATTACATGTTTTTTAAAGTCACAGAAATACTTGACCTCATGCAGGCAAGGCATGTTTGTTCTTATATCCATGATGGGGTTTCTGCTATGAATTAGACCATGAACTGAGTTTTGCCATAGCTTTTGCTCTGACACATCAGATCCTTGAAAGAGTCTTTTCCAATGGGCTGTACAGCCCACATACTTCCAGAGAATTGGACTTTGCATGCATGCACAGCTGCTAGGGCCTACTGCAACTTCACAGTTCTTGTATTTTTAAAATTAATTAGATTTAAAAACTTATTTTCTGCCTTGAGAGCTTTTTTCTTAAATTGTACTCTTCTGTATATTGAACATTGTTGAACTGTGAACCAATCAATTCTGCAGACACGGTATGTTTGTTGTTCCACCTTGAACAGAAATGTTTCAAGTTACCCAGATAAACTCTGCAACTGAACATAAAACTGCTCAGAACTGTAACACTGAAATCCTGCAGCAAATAGTCACAGTAACTGACAGATTTTAATACTATTTCTGGCCTGAATGGGCCATGTGCTGTACATGAGAGACTACACAAGAACTGAGATACTGTCCTGGCTACAGTTAATCACCCAGACTGTGTTATCACCAGGTTTTATACAAGATTAGTACAAAAATGCTCAGAAGATATCAGCAGTTTAGTAAGACCTCTTAAGTAAAGGTAAGAAATTAGTTTATTAATCCTCCACTTCTGACAGCTATCATTAGATTCAGTCTGAGACCAAGTCCCTTACACCAGGCCCTGGGAAGTGCACAGTGACTTTCCTGACAGGGAGTCATGAACATGCTCTAAAGGTCAATGGATGAACAGAAGATGATCTCTGCATGTAGCTGATTTTCATAAATGTAGAGGTCTTCACACATTTCTCCATCCACTTAAGTCCTAGATGCCAATCAACATTCAATAAGGATTAGCACAATGACTTCATCTTTAAGGATGAAGGATCCTTAAATAAGGATAATCATTCATGCAAATGGAAGACATGAAACAATTCTGCTGGTGAAGATTAAGAGGTCATAACGCAGCACAAGGTGCTCCACTAAGCAGCACCATACAATTGCAAAAGAGGTAGTCACAAGTAAGAGTCTATAATCAGTAAAGCAAGTAAAAATATCTATTTCACATACTAGGATGTCTATTTTTGGGCACAGCAAGTTGATTAAAATAACATTTGGTGAGACTTCAGAGCAACAGCATCAAATTCTGAAAACATCAAGGTAGGAAATCTGAAAGAACTAGGATTGTCTAGTAGGGAGGAAAGAAGGTTGTAACAGTCTTCCATTATAGAAGCACAGAGCAGCTTTTTTGTTCATAGCTGCAGAAAGTGAAGACAAAGAAGAATCAGTGTGTGCTAGAGGAAAATGGAATACATGAGACAATCAGGAGAGAAGTCAGTAAATACCTTTTGGGTCATCAGGAATGACAATGGGAGGAGCTATGTCTGGAAGTTCCTCTTCTCCTGGCTGGAGACCCCTGGCCCTAAGATGGCTGATATCTAGGAAATCTGGCATGTCTATAGAAACATCTACAAAAGCAAAGAAACGGGAGAAGCTTTTTGAATCCAGCAAAGTTACCACATGGTACAACCTACACCTTTGGAAAAGGGACTCTAAAACTTAAGGTATCAACACAGCCAGAATCCTCCTCCTGGAAACAGTTATTCCAGAAACCTGGAACACTACAGTTTAACTAAGATATCAGACTACGTGAAACCTTATTTTAACTCTACAGACCAGGTAGACTGGTTTAATTTGCCATGAAATAAAATAAGATTCAATTTGGATCCTAAGAGTATGAACTTGAGACTCAAACCACATCCTCATTATAGAGCAAAGCATGTACAGCTTAGATAAGAAGCAGGTAAGTATAAAAGAAGCATACCAAGCTTTTTGGGTATCCAATCCAGGCCAAAAGTGAATTTCTTTATCTGCACCACTAAGTACTCAGGAAATGAAGCAAAACGAGAAGTCCTGGGAAGCACAAGAAATACAACTCATGAAAGAAGGCAACAAATTCACAAGCAACACAGATTTCAGTACCTTATTCACACTGAGATGAGTAACTTTAGCCCCAAGTGAGATGAATAGTTACAGATTTCATAAACTTCACAAAAAAGTTTTCAAGTATTGTGGAGAAGTATGATAGCAGCTTTCTATTCATTCATATCTTCAGTGTTAGCCCAAAACCTTGCAGACAATTCAGCTTGTAGAAACAACTACAAGTGACTACAAGTAACATTAAACTTGCTTAAGCAATTTGTTCTGAAGTTCAGTGTCAGGAAACAGATGTTGAATGACTAATTGGCTACAGTTTCAGGGTACAGGCTTGACACATAGCTTGGACAGAAAAGATTAGCAAATAAAATTGTATTATTATTTTTTTCACTCCCTTTCTAATAAGAGCAGCACTGCCCATGAGGTATCAGTCCATCTATAACGCTTTTCATCAAGCACAGATAAAACAAGTTGTAATTTGTAGTATTTCCACACTAAAGTGCTATATAAAAGAAACATACTCTTACTGAGCGAATATGATATTTATCAAAACAGAGGATGACACTTGAGTTTCAGGGAATGCCTAATATTTTCCCCACTTAATGACAAGTTCCATCTGGAACACAATGTAATATTATATGTATCACCATTCTCCTTATTTATACTCCCATTTTTGCTATATTTAGTTGCCTTGATCCTTCCCTTCATCTTCCATTCACATATACCATCCTTTCTTCTAATTCACCTAACTCTGGGTAACATAAAGGAAATGCATCACAAATATAAGGCCTTCCTTCCATATTATAAACAACTACTTCCTAAATTCTTGTTAGCACCACCTTGCAATTTTAGTAAACTGAATCATTTGCAGCATGAAACATTTGGATTTTAAACAGCAAATTATTCTTAATCTTTTAATGCTTTTAAAGACCCTGGAGGGATTAAGAACAGCTAAACTACAAATTAGCCCTGGATCTATTTAAGATCTATGTTTTTCCAAGATGTTCAGAGCTGATACACAAAAACTTCAGATTTCTGCTGCATTTTCCTCTACCATGTGCACTTGTCTCCCAATTTTCAACACAATGTAGGTGAAACTGTGTGCTGGGACAGCAATGAGTATGATATATTGAGCAGTCTAAAAACAGAAGGTACCTAACCACAACAAACCAGTAGCAGAGCCCAATTTTCAACCATTCCTTACTGCTGACATAAAAATTGAACTGGATAAAGGTCTAACTCTTGTTTTCAGCAAGAAATACTGCCCCTGAAAATCACAGAGATCTCTATCTTCTGTCCTATTTCTTCTCAGTGCTTTTTTAAGCCGAAGATGTTCTTCATTCTTTTATCTACCTGACTATAACCACACAAGATGGTTTCTTTCATCTTGTACTATGGCCCCATGTGACAGCAAACTTGATAGAAACAGCTGTGGGTTACAAAGGTGATGGGTTGAAATCCAAACACAAACAATAAATAGCACAAAACACGATAAAACCAAAGTTTTAAGCATCTTACTTCACCAATGTAAAAATTTCCATCCATCTCAAGAACTGTTGGACACACAACTCAGCATTTTTAGTCAAATGAAGACATCAAGAGACTAAGCACAAAGATCTAGACTGTATCTCCTATCACATGATACATAGCTTTGGCACTAACTGATAAATAGGATCTTATTTTAAAATGTGGGCAGACAATTAAGCTACAAGCATTTAAATTTTAAGCTGTCAACAATTAGATAGAATCACCTCTTGGGAGTTTGACAGTTGAGAACAACTTATTTTGTGCTCTGTTGGTCATTACAACCCTCAGCAGGCTTGATCTGCACATTCAATTTCTAAGTCCCAACAATAATACACCACCAAAACCCACTGTGCCTTCTTTGCCTGCTTCTCTCTACATCATGTCCAGGTAGCAAGATAAACACAGAGCACATACAGGTTTTTAATAGGCAGTCAGACACACACTTACTTAACTCCTGCAGATTTTGCTTGAAGGGCACTGCTCCAGAAATCCTCTACATTGCTAGGTTCAGAAAAGGCCTGCAGACATGCACTAAATGGGATCTTGGCACGGACAAGTTCTGGTGGAGGTGTCCTTGCAGCTTCTGCTTCTCGCCGCTTCAATTCATAGGCAATTAATTCATCTGAGAAACATACATGACACTAAAAGCTAAACGAACATGTCATGGTTATGATATCCCCCCACCAGTCTTATTTTTACAAGTTTTAGAATTAAGTTTTTATATACTGCTTCACTGTCTTGGACAAAGAAAATGCAATCCTAGTATGGATCTTTCAGCACACAGATGCACACACACAAAACCCAAGAGTAAATAAATTGTACGAGTGATGTGACACATCCCTGGATCAAGTCCAAGTTAAATTTTTAAATCACAAATCTCTGACAACTTTATCATATAAGCTGCTGCCATTCTTGGTCATATATTGCTCAGCAGTGACAATTAATGATGAATATACAGTCTGAGAAGAAATCTGAACACCTGCCAAGCGTATCCAGGTAGAATCCTTCCATAAAATTATAAGCAGGGAGAGTAAAGCCACACACTGATGTATGTTTAAAATCTCCTTTAAAGAAAACCAAATCAAGTAACTTTCCCCTTATCAGTTCATTGGTTTGATTTGTGATGTGGCCTTGGAACATTCTATCCATACAAAGATATAATGTAGCAGTGAGAACTTCCCTCCCACATGGTTGAGAAAGTCACCAGAAGATCAGTTAATGAACTGGTTTCTTTCTTTACCTTTGTTCGTTGCTGCCTCCATGGCCACAGGTAACTGCATGATGTAGTCCACCCTCTCTGTGTAGCGGACCTTTCTGGACTGGCAGCACTGTGTGCGTTCCTCCACCAGGAACCGGAACACATCACTGGGGTTTTCTGAACCTACAGGGTTCCTCTGAAAGGAGTATTAGACCTAATCATTTAAGTGACCATCATTAAAATGATCAGAGAACCAAGGGCTGCTGATTGTTTCGTTGCAAGCACAAAGGCACCCATCTTGTACTCAGACATGACAGCTCAGCTTGCGTTTTACTGCATGCAGAACTGTTGCTCCCACAGAGGACCCCACTGAAGTCCACCATGTCTGCATACCTAGCAGTGTCCTCCTACACACAGTAACTTGCACAGAATGTGCCTAATGAACCTGACTGAGTCAAGGTGAAGAGAATATAGGAAGGTAGAGGATTACAATAGAGGTAGAAAGCTCAGGTAAACAATATGGAGCATCCTTTCAGCAAATAGAACAGCTCCTACCACTCAGAATCTGCACGGAATCTGAACAAGCAACTTGTAGTTCATTATCCAGATGGGAATGTGATACAAATTATGTATCTTCTCTCTATTGTTCATGTTAATGTCTGTTATTAGGCAAAAAGTAAAAAAATGTCTTCTAAGCACCCTGTAATCAGTACATGTGTTTTGGGATGGGGAACATAATGTGCGTAAACATGAATAACTTAATGTAGACTATAATGCGTGAATAAACACACTTGATTCTTAGGAAAAATGGGAAAAATAGGGAGTTTGGACAGGTAAGAAATACTTCAAATCAAAACTGCATGTGTTTGTAAATTTCCTTTTCAGAAAGACAGTGTTGAAATTCACAGTACTGATTCTTTTACACAGAGCATTGAGTTCAGTGAAACAAATATTTTACACAGAAATATTCAACTGAAAAATAGTCCCTTTGCTTTCAGCAGGGGAGTCCTTCCATGATGATTCAGTGATGTACAGCTGGGATTTGTAAAAGAACTGGACATAGTAATTAGTTTGCTCCCAACAATGATAGAAATTTGGAAGAATAATTATAATAATCATAATACCCAATTCATTAATATTCCAAGATAGACTTCAATGTGGTAAACAACTGGATAGTATGTAATCAAAAAACTATCAGCAATTTAAAAGGACAGTTATATGTTTTATAAATCTTATAGCCTGTGCTCGACCTCTGTCTCTTGCAGTTGTCCTCAGCAGCATTGGCCCTGTATGGTCATGCAAGACTAAGAGGTAAAGAGAAAGGAGAATTAAAGAAATAAATGTTTCTAAACCAAACTGTATTTAAGTTAATGCCGTTTTCTACATATTCATGGCCAGAAAGAATATAATAACAAAATGAGCCACTCATGTAACAGCTCTGCTCTCATTGACTAATATGACTATGGGAAAGGAGCAATAATTCAGGTTTTCTTACCTCTACTAGATTTATAAGATGTAGGAAAAATTCCTGTGCATCTTGTTGTCTATTAGAGGAAAATTCTGGATGGCCTTTACTTATAAAAGCCTTAAACATTCGGGGAGATATTCCGTTGTGTTGAGGCTGAATAAAAGAAAGAGAAACCTTTTAAAGGCTTTTTTTTTTTTAATTCCTGAACCAAATATTCCAAAGTCATTCCATTACATACATCTATAGTCCATTTCTGCCACTGGAGAAATGATAGTTTCAGTTTCATGCAGGTTTTCATTTTAATAAAAATGGAAAATGTCCTGGAACATGATTTGGGGCTTTTAGAATATGTTTAGTTTCATAGTTCCTACAACATTCACTCTGATTTTTTATGGCATTTGCAAGTTAAAATATATTATTGAAGTTTTGCTAAAGGTTAGTTTTCAGAAAGGGTTTACACTGCTTTCTAACATTTGATGTTCCTTTCAGAACCCTGTTCCACCTAAAAATAGTGTGCAGTAAACCACTTCAGTAGATCAGCTAACAGCTTTACCCAGGACAAAACCTTTCCAGAGATCTCTACAGACTCCAGCAGAGAACAATTAATGTGTACATCATGTATTCCAAGGTGGGGTTTTAAGAACAAACATGAATTTACCATTTGCATGTGTTGGTCATGTTAAAGAACCAGAACATCCTGCCTTTCAGTTACATTGGTACAAAACCAACCTTAATCAGAAAATCTCTTGTTTCCAAGAGAGTCCTAGTTTTTACTTTCTCACCCCTTGCAGCACTTTAAGAATCCTTTATAATCACCTCAAATTACATCCTCATGACAACACTAGCTATTTAAATAACAATTTCAAAAGGGTCAGTCTATATCTTACTTAGATTTACTGTCATCCTCCTTAAGACCAAATAATTTTCAAGATGACCCAAGCAAAGTACAGTCTAGGATATGCCAGAAGCAGTGAAATACTCATGCAACCTAATTCTTTACTCTAACTGTACTACCATGTGAATATAAAAATAGAAAAGGCAGGATGAAATGGAAGGCACATAAACCACGACAAAGTAACAAAATGTTATCCTTGGTTCCCCCAGGGTAGGGTATTCCTAGACTCACTGAAATTGGAAGCAGATTCTCGATTTTAATGCTTTTTCAATTTCTGGCAGGACACCAACAACCACATTAGGCTAAGATGCTCTTTACAGGCTCTTCTAAAGAGACAGATTCTCAGTATTGCTTGAACAAAGAGATGTTCTTGGGACTTATGAATCTTGGGATAACCAAGTGATATATAAATATCACTTCAGTGTCCTCAGCTGTCTTTCATCAACATTAGGACTGAGGAAAAAAATGCACAAACCAGCTCAAATTCCAATATACTAGGTTTCTTTTAATGTCAGAAGCAAGAATACATGCAGGTGGCACATATGCCCTGATGTATAATGCAATGAGTTTGGAATTAAACGTTGTTTCCATCTATGTGTGGTTTACTCAGCTCCTTGAGCAGGCAGAAGAGAAATATGCCATGAATGACAGTAGATAGAAGAGGATCAGATCTTGCCCTCTAAACCCTTTTCACCTCAAGGACAAGAAAATAACAGAAGAAATAGCAAAGCTCTAAACACAAAATTAAGTCCTAGCTAATGACCGTTTAGGCTTCCAGCCTGCTTTTTTAATGTTAAAGCAGGTCCAGGAAGTCTGCTGCCATTTCCAAACTAAACTCCTGTGGTGAAAAATTTTAGCTCCACAGTATCATGAATATTTATAGAATACCTAGCATACTTTCTCCATCCACAGTTGCCAAACAGTTTAGCTAAATATAGACTGTGCTGGACCACTGCAGATCTCATAAAAAATGCTTTTCCAGGCAACAACTTCCAAAAACTTTGAATGAAATCCAAAGACCCAGAAAGCTGAAGAAGTGCTTTGTATGTAGGAAGGGAAAATAAAAGAATAAAAATGAAACAAATAGTTAATTTTATAGACAGAAAGCAGAAGCACTTGAAAACGCTGGAGGTCTAAAATCCTTTGCAATTATGTTTATTATGCCAGTACAATTCTCTGGATGACAAAACACTACCTGTGTATACCAGTTACTATTAGGGAAGGAAAACAACAAATAAAAAACTCACCCTAAACTAACATGACACAGATTTGTGTATGCCCAGACTGAGGGAGAAAACATACTTAGAAATAAAAACCCAAGTATAAATATATTCAATACAACAAAGAACAAAAACAATAAAAGCTGCTTCATATCCTAATATACCCTATGAATTGCCTGATCAGCAAGTCATCTTTGCTTGTAACTACATCTTTATTAAATTGAACTGAGGAACAACAGAAGTATTGATAAATGCCAGTAGATGGATACTACCTGGTGGAGCTTTATACCATCTGTCATAAAAAAGTTCTCAACTTCTCATTGCTTGTAGTGGCTGCTGGGCTAAATATGGAAGTGTGGCTTTTTTTGAAGGGTTCAAGTCCCTGAACTTCCAGCACATAATTTTACAATCATATCCTGTATATGTTCAAGAAAGCAAGTCATTCAGTATACATAATTTTATGTGAGGAGTCTGAAATCTATTCCATTGTTCCTTACAGTGATGCATTGATAAGCTTCAAACTTATTTAAAGGAAACAAGCAGGATTTGTTAATTGTTCCAAACCAATGAATAGCTTCTGTATAGAGCAATTACTCAGTAGGCATAGAACTTTCAGATCATGTAAAGTATACCAAGATACTCTATCTTTGTCCATAATCTCCTTGGCCTTTTAATTTCAGGAGAAAGTCCTGTATCAATAACTGATAGATGAAAGTAGAGTAAAATACCTATTTCCATGGAAACTATCATCATACTCCTGTGGCAGGAGCATACATGTCCAACACACATCTGAACAAAGAAGAGGAAGAGGCTTTTTGATGACTATGAGAGTGAATGTATTCATTGCTGGATGAGAAAAAAAGCACAGATGAGAACATAGGCTCAGGGATGTTATGGTGCCAACATCTGCCTTAACCATTTCTGCAGATAAGAGAAACAGCAACTTTCATGTTGAAGAACACCATCACAAGGGCAATGCAAAGATTAGAGAGCCAACAACATTGAAGTCCTCATAGCTAGATATTGTGAGCTGAATATTTGTTTTGCTGCAGAACTGCTGCAAATTACAGTAAGAATAGAAGGTCAGTCTCCCACTGGTAACACCATGACAGTGAAATAAAATTCCACTTTATATAAACATAGAAAACAAGGTCATTTCAACTTCCAGTTCCTCTCCTTTGTGTGAGCATGTATGGGAGCACACATCATGTATGTATGATATAGTGTTTGCTACTCAGTATTCCTTTGTTCTGAAATTGCCTATTAAGAAAGCTGATTCCAAGTTTTTTCTCTATTGTGAATTATTAGAAAATCAGGATACAGACATTGTTCTTCCCAGGTTGTCCAGCAATTAGAGTTTCAGTCCATATCCAAAGCCACATACACTGCTGTGTTTCCAGGATAAATCCTACTGGCACAGACATGCTTCTACATTATTTCTGTACCATGAAATACATAAATAAGCCCAGTGGACATGGCTCTGCACAGCCCCTCCTTCATCTACCTGAAAATCTCCAGTGCCACTTAAAAATCAGGTAGAATACTGTCAGATGTTTTCTGCGAACAACTCAGCTCTTTATACTTCTTTCTGAAATTTAAAAAGGATTTTGAAGTTTGCTTCCAAATACACAGGACTCTCCAGATAACATTTGTTGTTGTTCCTCAGAGAAGACAGATGTAAGCTACAAATTCTGTGAACTATTAGTTATCATTGGAGAAGCAAAATACTTTATTAGCAGAACCAATGTTTGCTTTATTGCTTTGCACAAATAGTCCCTGACTAATATATTCCTGACTAGAATCCTGCACATTCCACCTTGCTAAGCATCCCATGCTGGATCCACACATGTTCTTCAATGCCCAGCACCTGTTCCCTTTTCACAGGATATCACTTTTACCTAGTTACCAGGCTGCACAAACTCAGTCAAATACCTTGTGTTCTTCTTTCATCACCTGCTCAATAAGCTCAGATTTCATGGGTGGCTTAGAGTACTGGCCTGAAAGGAGACCGTGTCCCAGCTTAGCCCTGTAGGGAAGAAAGTGGTGGGGTGGAAACAAACATGAGAAAATGAAAAAAGAAGAGAAAGTTTTTATTCCAAACAAAAAAGGAGTTTATTGTCTTTGATTTCTGGATGAAGCATCATTACCTACAACCAAGTGGGCAAATCCTCCCATTCTATCTTGTTCCATATCATAGAATCATTAAAGTTGGAAAAAACCTCTAAGATTATCAAGTCCAACTGCCAACCTAACACTACCATCCAACTACACCATGTCCTGAAATGTTACATCCACACATTTTTTAATGGCTCTAGGAATGGTGACTCCATCACTTCCCTGGGCAGCCTGTTCCAAAGCCTGACCATATCTCACTTTCTAGCCCATGCAGAGATGTTCTTTTGCCCTGCCATTATTTTCTATTTATTTATTTATTTAAATTTCATTTGACCAGGTAAGTCCTTGAGAAGTGTCACTTACATCTGAGTGTTGAAGTCTTGCGTTGGATCAAGAGGGGAGTAGTCAAATATTCGTGGAAGGTTTCCAACATACCTAGCAGCAAGAGCAAAGCAGAAACGTTCAAATATTTCAACTGAATTTACTCAGGGATATCCTAATAGATACTCAGCCCTCAGCAGTGGTACATGACCAGACTTCCTCAAGTCAAATTTTGCATCATAGTAATGACTGGTGAGTGGCTCTACCATGGAAAAATAATAGTAAAGAACTTAGGAAAAGGACATTTAATTTCTGCTTAGAAGCTTCTAGCTATAAAGGATATGACGTGGTTGTTCATCTGGAATTTAAGTTCTATTCCTTAGTAAAGTCCATTTTGATTTATTTTGTTTTTTTCCAAAAATGGAGATAGAAAAGCTGGCACTCCATTCATCTACAGACTGTACTCCATATGTCTAACAAAGTAAACAAATGCAAGTTTTCTCCCTCCTCTTCTCCAGAAGGCCATTGCTACATGAAAACCTGGGAGGCTTTCCAAGATCTAAAAGCCTTACTTCCAGCACACACACTACTACTGCTGTGAAATAAAAGAACACTCTGAAATTTATTGCAAACCATAGACTATCCTTTATAAAAAAGTTTCTCTCCTTAGAGTGACGTGTTTGGTTTTGATCAATATGGAATATTTCATATTCTTCTGTTGTGCTGTTGACCTTTTATTCAGTTATTCTGTGAAAGAATATGCTCACACTATCCTTTTCATGAAGTGGGACTTTTAAAATAAGAATTTTAATTTTAAAATACCTCTAATACATTCCCTCTTCTTATCTAAACCTGCATGCAAAAGGTGCTTAGATTTTTACTAGTTTTTTTGCACAAATGACACTGGAGCAGTAGAATGTTTCCTGCAGCCATGCAAAGGCATGGGCCAGTACAAAGAGCCTGATGTGATATTGATGATATTGAGATACACAGAAGGATGTACATATGTATATATAAAGCAAAGACATAGCAAACAAATTTACAAGATCTTTCCACTGAAGCTAAACGAGGATGTGTTGACTTCAGAGGTAGGTTGAGTTTTGTGTCCCAGCCTTTTCACCCCCCTGCCAGAGCAGGGTCACCTAGAGTACATCACACAGGAACTCATCCAGGTGGGTTTTGAATGTCTCCAGTGAGGGAGACTCCACAACCTCCCTGGGCAGTCTGTTCCAGTGCTCTGTCACTCTTACAGTAAAAAAATTTTTTCGGATATTCACCTTGAACCTCCTATGCTCCAATTTACACCCATTACCCCTTGTCCTATCACTGGTCATCACTGAGAAAAGCCTAACTCCGTCCCCCTGACACTCACCCCTTACATATTTGTAAACATTGATGAGGTCACCCCTCAGTCTCCTTTTCTCCAAGCTAAAGAGACCCAGCTCCCTCAGCCTTTCCTCATAAGGGAGATGTTCCACTCCCCTAATCATCTTCGTAGCTCTGCGCTGGACTCTTTCGAGCAGTTCCCTGTCCTTTTTGAACTGAGGGGCCCAGAACTGGACACAATACTCCAGATGTGGCCTCACCAATGCAGAATAGAGGGGGAGGAGAACCTCTCTTGACCTACTAACCACACCCTTTCTAATGCACCCCAGGATGCCATTGGCCTTCTTGGCCACAAGGGCACATTGCTGGCTCATGGTCATCCTCCTGTCTACCAGGACCCCCAGGTCTCTTTCACCTACACTACTCTCCAGCAGTTCAGCTCCCAACCTGTACTGGGACATGGTGTTGTTCTTCCCCAAATGTAAAACTCTGCACTTCCCCTTGTTGAATTTCATCATGTTTCTCCCCGCCCAATTCTCCAACCTATCTAAGTCTCTCTGAATGGCAGCACAGCCTTCTGGTGTGTCAGCCACTCCTCCCAGCTTAGTGTCATCAGCAAACTTGCTGAGGGTACATTCTATACCCTCATCCAGGTCGTTGATGAAGATGTTGAACAACACCGGTCCCAGTACCGACCCCTGTGGGACTCCACTAGTCACTTTTCCAGAACAGAAAAATACAGTCACTAAATCCTTTAAGTAAACAATGAACTGACTAAAAGAGGTTGGTTTGCAGGCAAGATAAAAATTGAAATATGAAACAAGAGACTGAGGAATGTAGTAGTTAGGGACAAGAACTAGTTTGAAGCTACTCACGCTCGCTGGAACTCTGGGATGCTGAAAATGGCCTGCATGACAGCATTGAGGTAGCAGCTATTTCCCAGGTTCTTCATGCCAGTGTATCCTGGGCCATACATGGGCTTGAGTTTCACACCAGCTTCCTGAATCACTTCCCATTCAGAGATTCTTGGTTTTATATCATTGTCTCTTAGCCCATTCTCTGTCTGAAAGCAATGAGATTTTTTTTTTCATGTTTAGCATCTGCCACAATTATGCTGCTGTTTTCATCACCAACTATGTGTTCTATACTCTAGAAAAGAAGAGCCAAGCCAATGGGCAAAGGGAGATAAATCCTGCATGTAGAAGAGATGATGTGGGTCAGAAGGCTAGCAGCTTAATTTTCCAATATATCTATTAGCTCTTTACCACAGCTCACTGGCTCTTTCAGTGTTCCTAGTTGTGACCTCAATCACAGCTGGCAGCCTCACTTCTGACCTCAAGCCTCAGCATAAAGTCACTGCATTTTTAATGCAGTAATGGCCAGAAATAGCTGCTGATGTAGGAACTGGTCCTAGCAAACAAACTAGATTAAAAGATGCAGATTCAAGAACTCTTCCCTTCTTTCAATTGGAAAAAGCCAAAATTTGTGACGCTGAAGTTTCTCCCCTTTACAGCTCAGCTTTCAGACTGTAGGTCCCACTGCAATTAAATATTATATATATTCTTTCATCTTTTTTTTATTTTTATTTTTAATCTTGAAGGAAAATGGTACATAACTCCAAACATTAAACATACAAACTAAAGACTACTAAGGAACTCTTTTAGAAGGCAGCTTTCAGATTTGACAGTAATGATTCACTTCTCAGACCTCAGAAAATAAAACAGCAACTGCCTGAACTTTACAACACTAAAATATTATCATAACAATCTAAAGGAATCAGGCATATAAGCTGCAAGTATCATTCTCCACCTGTTTCTTTCCCACCTCCAAATAAACAAACAAGTAAACAACACTAAAAGATGGATTTCCTACCACTTGCATCTGCAGCATATCAATTCCAAAATGTGCCAAATGTTTTGCTATATGTGGATCTAAAACCGGCTCCTCCTCATCAAAGGAATAGACATCTGCAAAAGCAGAGAGAAACAGATAAACTGTAGATTATGTTGTCCTTTCTCTTTGTTTATCAAAATTACATTCTCAGTACAGGACTGCCTTTACAAAATGCCATTTCATATTCTCCAAGTTTGCTTACAACCAGCAGAAAAATGCATAGACATCCATATAGTGCTGTAATTACCTTAAAGTGTTCTCAACACAGCCATCTCAAAGAAATTATTTGCCCTCACAGAATTAAAACCTGAGTATTTATAGTGCTCATAGTATTTTCCCCTCTAAAATAAGAAATTTAGAGGGAAAACAAAAAACAGTGCAAAATTCTTAGATATGTGGCCAGCCCAGAGTTTGAACGTGGGAACTAGACATTCTGAGATTTTGTGGAGCTACTAGATACAGGCAGACATGAAAACTGAGTACATGCGGGGCTGATTCTTGCTAATAGTATTTTCATTTCTAGCATAGTTTAAGGAATCCCCTTGTGCCCTTGCCTCACAGAAATGCAATGAGAACTGAAACATTATTTAATAGAAATAAGGAGATGTTTATTGAATGGGACTACATACCCTGGTTCTGACTCAGCCCATCTCCTACTTAACTTAAACAAAAAGGCAGTTTTCTTGAAGTCTGCTGGTACCAAACCTACACTGAAATGCCAGGCTGAAGGTTAGCCAAGACCTCAAAGACCTAATGCAATTTTTTAAATCTACCAGCCCTGTGGAAAAAAAAAAAAATAAAAAAAAAAATAAAAAATAATAAAAAAAAAGAACTCTCTCAAACCAGGCTTTTTTGCTTTTGAGTAGTGTAGCCAGCTGCTGATTAGCCACCAGACCCTCCTGACAACCCCTCTGGCACGCATGTGGCTGTAACTGCCCATCTGCTGGAATTCCACTGTGTGGTAGCAAGACATGACTGTTCATCCACACAGGAGATCACAACATTCCCATAGTCTCTAGGTGAGATCACAGTACGGCCAAAAGATCTTCTAAAGTTCAAACACCCAATGGTGTTAGATTACACATCTACTGATCCTGGGTGACTACTTTCTATGTGGAAGCTTTGATTTTGTTTTCTCTCAGCTCTGCCAACTGAAGATAGAGCAGCCACCTGGGACTACTGACCCAGAGCAGCAGATATGGAACACAAAACACATTAATCTTTTGCTCAATTCCAGCTCCTGTGTCACATACTTTAGTACTTTCTGCTGTGTAGCCAAGTTAAATTAAAGGGAGATAGAATTCTTATTTAAAATAAATAAATAAAATGCAGCAAATCAAAGAAAGATTATTAGAGCCCCTAGACACAGGTCTGTACTGCTGTCATATGGACAGCACTCCTAGATATAGATCTAGGAGATAAGGAATGTAGACAAGTCAGCAAATGTGACACTCAGAAGCTTATTGTTACTGTGAGAAAGTGGCAGAATAGAGGAAATGGGGGAGGGGGGATAGAAATCAGGAGAAATTTGAGACAGCGCAAAATACTACTGAACAGAAAATAATTATTATTCATATCACGGTAAAAAAAATATATTTTTTTAAAATGGCAATACTACCTGCACTTCCTTTTCTTCCACAGCTCAAGATTTACACCTGTTCTGGCTGTGCAGACACCACTCCTTGCCGCTTAAAGGATAACAGGCAATGGCAACATTACCTCTGAATAAACAAGTTGCACAGGATCCCCCAAAGCAGTAGGTGTTAATTGCAGATAGTGGCATCCACAATGGAACTCACTCTGGTACCTGTCAGACAGGGCTTCCCACAGCCTCAAAACTGGTCCTCAGCCCATCCCTCAAACCAGTTTCAAACACACAAACTCACAATGACTTAAAATGAAATAAAATAGCATTGAAGAGAGAGGCAGCAGCTTGCACAGTCTGCCAAGGACTACTCAACCTACTCAAGCAACTTTTCTGACTCCTGTGCATCCTGACAAGGTTCAAGAGTGGAGACAGAAGTTTGGTTCTATCTCTGCCTTGATCCCAGATCTGTTTGTTGACAGAATAATACCAAATGAGGCTAGTGCCCCAAGAATCTTTCATAATGTATGCAACACAAATTTCCCAAGACAAAACAAGGAGCTCTCCTCTGCCCCCTCTGTGTACATGTAGGGTAAGTGTCACACTGGTAACACCTCTTTCTCCTTCTTACTGGTGTGAAAGAGGAGTAAGTTAACATCAGCAAAGGGACTAACACTTATTACGCAATAACCATCATCTCTTCACATTCAGCTCAGGAAAGAAGAAACCAGACAAGCATTGCATTACAACCAGCAAAGTTCTTTGCTGAAGCTCATTTGTCATCCAGCCCTATCAAGAGCTTATGACTACCACTGCAATATAGATCAAAGAGAGAATTACTGAAAAGGAAGCAAGGAGGCTTGGGGAAGTTTTTTTCTACAGGGAAACCAAGTAAACATCATCCAGAAGAACAAAGGTGTGTAGAGAACTGCTGCTGCCCCTCATTCAGAGGGAAGGATGACAACCTGTCATTTGTTACCACAAAGGCCACATAAGAGAGGAAGCAGTTGATCGGTGGGAGGCAGAAGGACAGCAGCCCATAAGGAAACAAGTATTGCTGCTAAAGATGAGGAAGGGGAAATATTCCAAAAAAATCCCACTAAAGAATATTTTGTTTACTTTGTAGATGCAGTTGAAACCTACAGCTGGGCAAATTCTAAAACACCTTCCAATAACTGAGAGATTTAGAGAGAAATCCAAAACCAGGCTCATCCAAGGAAACAATATTCCATCTGGGAAAAAAAAGAATGACATTTCCTCAGGTTTTTTTAATGGCACAGCTGGTGGAATCTGACTACAGTCTCCTTTGCCTGAGAGTGAATAGGACTTACAAATAAAAACCTCTCAACTGACGTGTGTCAAATATTTTTCATCCATATGGTTATAGGCACTAAAACAAAAATATAATTATTCTGTGTGTTCTTCCACTTTTTATTTCTCTGTACAGCTGCAGCAGAGGATCTCTTTGCTTTTTCAGCTTCTTATTATTTTAATCCTCACACACCATAAGCCTCTCCACAGCAACATCCCAGAATGTCACACTTTGAGAATATGCAAACAAGGGTACATCTACAGCTTTTTTCCTCCCTTTCAAGATATTCAGAGGCATTTTATAAATGAGCATCACAGCAGCCCCATGAAGATGAACATCCATTCAGCTGAACAAAACGTTACCAAAACAATAAGGAAAAATAGCACAGTTTTCAGTTGAAACAACTATGCATACTGCTAAGTATTTACTTTCCTGAATTTAAAAAAACATTACCCTGTTACTGCTTCTATATTACATAAAATTGAACAATTTGCCCTAGCAAATGTAGCAGAACTGAGAAAATACTCACAATTCTCCTGTTTCAAAATAATAAATCTATTATAAAAACAAACAAAAAATTACTTACACCAAATATAAAACAAGAGAAGAGGAACATTTATAAAAGGTAAGAGCTTTCTCCAAATGGACTGTGTGTTATTCCCCAAAACCCTGATCAAGATTCAGAGGGTTTTCTTTTCATATCAGTCTCAAACACTGGCATTAGAAAGAAAACCCAACTGGTAATAGATATACACTGTTAGTCTCATACACAAAAGGTGTCCCATAGCAGAACCTGACAGGTGGCTGACCTGCTCCATCAGGAGTGATGGTTCCCAACTTCACTGCCAGGGGATAACCTGTATCCTTGTAGTGCTCCATTGCATGCCCATTACCCCCACTGCCATCAAAGAACCACTTGCCACACAGCACTGAACCGTCCGTCAGGTTTAGCCACAGATTCTCACGCAGGTCACATTTTGAGCACTTCCAACCACTGCAAGAGAAAACAGGAAGAAACAACAGAAATAACTAAGACAGGAATCAATCCTGTATTACCATTTAAGGTAGGTCAGATCAAAAGTACACACTTCGCCCAGAGTCATGCAAGAGAATTGTTGGCCATGTTGCTGGCTTTACTTCTGTTACTCTGGACTGTATTAGAGATTGACAAACTTTATTACCCTCACCTGGGGGGAATTCTAACACCATTATCTAACTGTACAAGTGTTTTGGCATGTTTAGATGCCTGTAGCTCTTCTTCCCAGGAGTCAGGTTCTTGTTTCCTGTAGGGTGACTTAGAGCTGAGGAGTGCATCACAAGCTATTGTCATCTGGAAGACAAATGTATGGCAATCAAAACCAAACACTGTTCAGTGACTGGACAGAATTTGGCATTCAGAACATTGCCAACCACATACAGAACTGGGTACCAGTAAGACCATTTATAAGGTTAAATATGCATATATTATTACAGATTGCAGTTACTATTTTAGCAGGAGAGTAAGCATGTGTGCTATGTGAGCTTCCCTGAAACAAGCTGAGGTTACAATAAGGGGAGGAATACAGAAGAGAAAAGGAAATCTAAGAAACAAAGACAAAGCAAACTTTTAAAAATTACTCTCTATGATAGATCTCTATAAAGATCTTTATGTAAAAACATGCACCACATAAGCACAAAGCTCCATCTTGATAAAAGCTGCAACAGGACAATTCCTGTCGTCACTTGTGCACACTCACTGACCAGTGCTGGTAACTCTTCTATGTTGGGTAACGAGATTTCATAGTGATCAGGAAATATAACAAGCTTTGCTTCATCTTCATATTCAAAGTCATCACTGTTGAGATCACCATGTGTCTCTAGATCTGAAAAACAAGATGGGGAATATAAGAAGACTGTCCCAGGATCAAGGTTCCTAAATTGTGGCAGGTATACCACTATGAAGCATTGCTTGCCTGGCATTAGCCTGCAAGCTGACACTGGCAGTATTTTCTTCTGGCTAGAAGTGTTTGTAAAACGTTGATCTAAATTGAAATCTGACCATTTGCAAGAGGATGTTCTGAGGACCAAAATTTCCATCTTAATCTTATCCCCAGTCAGAGATAATTTGGCCCCTTTCCAAGCAGTGCACTATTGCAGACATTATGGGAAGTAACTAACAAAATTCTGCTCATTTTGGTCAAAATAAGGACGTGATGTTGTGCCTTTTACCTGGGGTCTTGAAACACTATACAACGTGGTGACCAGGTCGCACTATCCATGCCCACGTTGCAGAGCAAGAACAACGTACCTCTGTTTCAGTCCTCCCATATTTTTCAGATCACAAACCTGTCTGAAACATCCGCTCCCATCCACCTTGGACCTGTGGCCTTCCCTCCCACAAAGATGTTCATGGCTAGAAGTGTATCCAGTAGGCATGTGCTTAGTGAATCACTCAATACTAAATGAGCATTGGCAGCAACCACTGCACCCTGGGAATGCCTGAAACCTCAAATGTGTATCTGGGAGGCAGGTGAGGATGACAGACGCCAGATTCAGAAAACTAAGCTCTCTATTTACCCAGTGGTCAGTAACAGCCTGAACATTCTAAGTGATAAAACAAGTATCAAAAGCTATTTTAACATGACCTGGAAAGACCACCACTTGAGAGGAATATAGTCCAGTCTCCAGTCAATTCTTGGCAAACCTGCGGCACCAGCCGGACCTGAGGGGTGGCAACACCCACTGTCAGTGACTTCCAGCAGTATGACCTCTTTCTCAGCAGCAACCAAAAAAAGCACCATCTCATCAGCTGAATATAGACACAAAAGCAAGAACTTTTTCTTATACTGAAAGCCCAACATTTATAAAGAAAATATGAATTTATTACTAACTCCCAGAATCATACAGTTTCCATAACAATCTCTTCCTTTCTGCAGTATAATAGAGATAACAAGAAACCTCACTTTACTCCTGGCTTCTTTTACAGCTTGTAGTATAATCCTATGTTTTGATAAAGGAGTGAAACTGAACATATGCAGCCTGCAACAGTAAGCTCTCCTACTCTATGAAGCAAAGAAACTGAGTCTCTCCAGGCTGATGTTACATATGGCAACATATCACAGAGAATTTTCATTTAATGCCCAGAAATGTGACAAGCACCACGCTACGAAAAATACCAACCAACTCCTAAATATGGCACTTTTCCCTGAAAGGATAAAAACTCGATGTGTGTTCAAGACAGGTTTAAAGGCAGTGCTTGCAGCCACACGCCCTCTGCTCAGCCACCAGAGGGATCCTGAGGACAGCTCACGGCAGCTGCAGTTATCCTTAGACATGTTTAAGACATGCTAGTATTTTCATTTCTTTGTGATATTGGCATTAAGTTTATAGTATTTACAACCCACTATATAGCAACAGCAATGACACAGTTGTCTGGGTTCAAAATTCAAGCCCACACTTGAGCTCATCTCACATGCCAGACAGTAGTGATTTTACTGCTGCTGATCTGACCTGCATTTGAACTAGTGATCCTGGGATGAAAGACTGAGTATCCTGTTAGCAATCATCTGCTGCCATTTAAGGACTTCACAGACTTAGGAGCATCAGCCTTTTGTGTGCAATGAGTGGGGAAGGAAAGATCCCTTTTACCATCTTTGGATTAGTATCATGCATGTTACCAGAAAAGTAGAAAACTGTGTCCTGTCAGCATGGTATTCTGGATGTCTGATGCACCAACATGACAACATCACATTTATTTTAAAGAAAAATACACACAGCTTTGGAACAGCTCCACGAAAAAACACGTGGATTTAACCGGGAATTCCACTTTTGAAGGTGACTGTGGAAAGCTTCACACACCCACCCCCCTCTGAATAGGGGTTAAAAGTACTGCCAGTGCTTTTTGGCAATTATTACCCTGAAGACAGTTTCTCAGGGTTCAGAGCCAGTACAGAAGAGCGGAAAGGACTTCTAAGGTCACTGACTGGAATCCCTTGATATAGCAGATGACCAGATAGACTAATTCCTTTTGTTGATGTCAGATAGGCCTCAAAAGGATGTCCAGTTGAAAACCTCCAAATCACCGCTCATTTTTAAATCTTGGCTTGTATGCACTGAGAGTCCTAGTTGCTAAGCTCAGTATGACATTCTACCTTTTTTCTGTGTCTGTGCATGGGCCAACACAGCTAAGAAAGCATGAGTAAAATACAATCAAAATAGACAACTATGACTTTAGAAGGCAACAGGGCCCACACTAAATGAAGGCAGAGGTTGATCCCATAGCCACTGGGCACCATGTGCAGTCTGAAGGCAGTTTCAAACTTGGATCCCAGAATTAGTACAGAATTTGAGAGAGGAACAAGAGGCAAGAGGAGCAAGGGGAAATCTACTTGCAAATGGAGCACATCTGATTAAAAATCACTGTAACACTTTAAGCACTATGCTTCATACAAAGCTGTTTCTTTGATAAGGGTGTTCTTCAAAGACACGCTGTAAGCAGAAGATTCTCTGGGAAAATCTCTGGGTTTACTCAGTTCTAAGGAGGAGCCACAAGAAACCCAACCAGTTTTTAATCTTTTTGAAGAGCTGACAGCTTGCTGGTGAATATCTACATGACCATGTTCCCCTTCTAGCGGACTAACCTCTTTATGGTGTCTCATCAGAGTCCCAGTTAAACACCATGGTCACTAAAACAGTGTCCCTAGATCACAAGTGTTACGTTGGGAGGCCAGGACAACAGGCCAAGTAAAATAACAGACACATTAAAACAGAGGCTCTTCTGATGTTGTTATTTTGAGCAAGTGGTCAGTAAATTTATGCAAGCTCACAGGAATCACTTTAGTGATGGTGATAAATGTGTTGCTGCTGAACTGACTGAAAAGAGCAGCTGGAAGTGGGAGACAGACTACTGTAAACCAACCCACAGGAGGGGAAGAAAAAGAGTGGATGAGCCCAGACTAGATTTAGACAAGTTACCAACTGACTGAACTAATAATAGTGGCATAAGGAGACTCCAGGCAGGAGCCCCAAACAGCATTTCCTGTGCAAATTGATGTGTCTGTGTGTGTATGAAAGGGAACACAAACATGAAAATTGAATAGGATGTTGTTCATCAGAGTCCCAGTTAAACACCATGGTCACTAAAACAGTGTCCCTAGATCACAAGTGTTACGTTGGGAGGCCAGGACAACAGGCCAAGTAAAATAACAGACACATTAAAACAGAGGCTCTTCTGATGTTGTTATTTTGAGCAAGTGGTCAGTAAATTTATGCAAGCTCACAGGAATCACTTTAGTGATGGTGATAAATGTGTTGCTGCTGAACTGACTGAAAAGAGCAGCTGGAAGTGGGAGACAGACTACTGTAAACCAACCCACAGGAGGGGAAGAAAAAGAGTGGATGAGCCCAGACTAGATTTAGACAAGTTACCAACTGACTGAACTAATAATAGTGGCATAAGGAGACTCCAGGCAGGAGCCCCAAACAGCATTTCCTGTGCAAATTGATGTGTCTGTGTGTGTGTATGAAAGGGAACACAAACATGAAAATTGAATGAGGATGTTGACTAGCAAGGCAACAAATTTTGAAACCCTAAAAAGGCATGGTAAGAATCTGGGCTTGATCTTGCTCTCACTGAAAGCAACAGACACATTTGTATTGACTTGGAAGCAGAGGACTGAGTCTTTAAAACAAATAATTTCTTCCTGAAGCCACTAAATAGCAATTCCTTGCAGCATCAGGACCACTTTACAGACTATAAGCTATTTATTTCATTTGTCTTCAGGCACATCTGAAACACTGACTTCATCAGATGAGCTATAAAAAAAAAAAAAGAATTTTAATTTATAAAAGATTCACGTTCCAGGCACAATGTTCTCTTCTGTGGCAAAAGGAAAACTTTACACTAGGATCATTTGGATCATTCACTACCTGTAAAATAACACTCAAATTGCTTGCTATGTCTCCAAAACATTAGTATGCTGTTCTTATTGCTAGATAAAGGCTCTGGTGGTGTCATGTATCTGCTCACTGTTTTACACTCAACTCAAACTTAGATGGCAAAGTCAGAAACCAACAGGTACACTCATGGTGTAACCAGTTCCACTGCTACTGCTAGGGACCATGCACATCTTTGCTGGGCTAAAATTTAAAAATATTCTCAGAAAACATTCAAATCCTCCAAAATCACAAATTCTCCATTCATAGATGTATGCTCTATATGTGCTTATTTACATAAACATAAACCACTCAAATCACTTGTGGTCAAAGTCCTCTTCAGCAGCTTACCAAACATCTGTACTGAAAACAAGGTTCTGCTGCTGGCAGCTATGAGATCTAGGAGAGCTAAGTGGAGCTGTGGTCAAATCCAGTCCAGCCACTCTTACTACTGGTCTTTACACTTGGAGCAGGCAGCCTTAACTGCATTCACTGCCGTAGGCAGGCGCGTGCCATCCAGGAAAAGCTCAGCAAGTTTACACGTTCTCCCAGACTCTCTAAGTGGAAGTTTTCTCTTCCTTTCCAAGGTCTTCTCTGAGACCAGCTGTGAGTCACGGATACTGCTCCTCACTGACACTCCTCTCACCAGCAGTTACCATGTGCATGGATCTGCTGACAGGACTGCTCATTTGAGTACTTCAAAACACTTTTAATTAATGGTCTAAGTTAGTCCTGACTTTGCTCAAAACGGAGCTCACACAACTTGCTGCACTGGCAGACACTGCTATGGTAACTGATCTGGAAGAGGACATCTGTCTACAGACAGGTTTTATGACAGCCACTCTACCATCTCTGTTTAGCCTAGATTTCAGGCTCTGGCATGTACAGACCAACAGAGGGCCAGGAAGAGGGCACCAGAACAAGGCAAAATGTGGTGATTCCTCCCTCAGGGTACACCTGCCTGCTTCCAGATGTGTATCTGGGGTTTTTATCTGGGGTTTTTTTTGTTTGTTGGAAGAGGTGGAGGGGAGTGAGAAGGAACAAACAGGGGGTGTGGTTGTCTGTGATTTCTCTATTGAAGAGAAGTTCACTTATATTTATAAACCAAAATAATAGAGAAAAATATAAAACGTGGCTCTACTGGTGTTCCACTTGATTCTTTCACTGCTATTGAGAACTGAGCTGACATTTTCAGAGAACCACTCCTAGCATCTGTCAGAACTACCTTCCTGAACAGTAATAGCTAATTTAGACACATCAATGTGCACACAGTTAAAACACTTCTCTTATTTGCATTTTCCAACATCTAGTTACACAGTAACATTAATTAAAACAGTAAAAGTGATTAAAAATCACTTCTAGATTTCATCTCTTAGATAATGTTAAATCAACCAGGAAACTATATTTGCTCATTTTTCAATCCCTTTCAAGACCATTTATGATGGCATTACTCATTCATAATTAGAACATCACAAAGGACTATGCTGATAACTCCTGGGAGTAACAGGTCTAGGGGGACTGTGCTGGTAAATTTCTGCTTTAAGAACTGGGCCTCAATACAAGGATCTTCCTTCTTATTTCTCCTACCTGTTTTGACCAGGATCTTGTAAGGAAAATAACTGTACATCCTGCCAACGGAATTGCTCTTGCTCACATAGTTACTGGATAACGTCTAAAATATATTCTGACAAGAATATTCCAGCAGAACCAGAACCATTACTTCACTTTGGAAAATACACAACAGCTCTTTTCTGTTCTATCATAGTTAGGTAACTTTCTGTCAATTCTGATTCTTTCTTTTTCTTCCAGCTGGGCTAATACGAAAATGGAATTTAGTAATTACACTTTTAGTGAGTGTATTTTTACTGCCAGCCAGCAGGGGGCGCAAAGAGAACTGCAGTAGATGGACAGACCAGACAAGATGCGCGTTCCAAAGGACATGAGATTCCAGAAGTACTAGATTAAATGGTGATAGTTCCATGTGCTAAATCCACCCAGCGAAGGTGCACCACCTTCAGAACTTCACGAGGACCAGGACACTTGGAACTTCTCCACCAGATCTTTGCAGGAACAAAAAAAACCTCCTGTGCAAGAATAGAATCTGAGGACTCCAACATGGTACATCCAAGATATCAAGCCACATACACTGTGTGCTGGCATAACGCAGTGACAGGAGCCTCAAAATATACACAGTAGATCAGCAAGAATAAAACCTGACCATGCTTTTGTAGTTCTTGTTGACACTCACATCACTAACACTGTGCAACCATCGCTGCATTGCAGCCCAGCTTTGCTTCTGAACCAACTACGCAGTGACAAATATCGCTGCATTGCAGCCCAGCTTTGCTTCTGAACTATGCAGTGACAAATACGATTTTCAAGGTAAACTGACAGTAAATGGCATTTAGACCAACATTTGTGATTTAAGACTGTTTTCCTACAAAATAAGTTTTTTTCTTCATGACTTATTTTAAGACTTTTTTTCTTTCCAAGTCATGCTAGCAAAACTTGCTCCAGACATTAACAACAATTTAATCGATCACAATCTGCAAAGTCCTCTTAGGGACACATTCCACAGATCAAAGCAATTCCAGAGAGAGGCCATGTATTGTTTCCCTTTAGCCATAAGAGCTGGCAATTGTAAATAAAAGATTTAACCTCTTCCTTACCAGAAGAAAAATTCACTATTAATACAGTTAGAGTAAGTAATAGATAAATAATAAAAATACCACAAGTTGTGGGAGGAAGGAGAATATGTGCATTGCATCAAATTTCTCTCATCCATATTCACAAGACCCTCAGGTTTTCAGGGTCATCTGAATCAAAGGGTATTGGATGAAATGGACAAGGTAAGAGGACTTATTTCCATGAAGCAAGAAGATATAATTGTGGACATAACAGAATAAGAATTGGTAGGAGATGCTGACAATACGTGTATTGTTGCATTCACTGTAGGAGAGATCACAGCACCACTTAAGAAGATGCATCTGCGTAACATCTTCAGAATCATAACAGCCCTTTCTGTGACCATCTGCTGAGCAGAGAGTGCCACACTGAGACCCTGTAATATCTGACCATTAAGTACAGATAAACATTTTAATAAAACATTGCTTTGTGGATATCAAAAAGAGAGAGAAGGGACAGAATTCATAAAAACTATCTATCCCACCCTCGGTGGTTTGAGAATAGTTGAGGGCCTATTTTAGATTAAAACTTCTCATGCATACATACAGAGATCTCTGAATGTGCACCAAAATTGCTAAGAATTACCTATTTGTTTGAACCAATTAAAAACAACAACAACAAAACTGCAACAGAAGAAAGAAAATCCACAAGGAGCCCCAAAGCCAGACACAATAGTGGACAGAGCTCAAGTACGCACACTGACAGGGTCAGGAAAGGACTGTATGAAAGCAGCTGTTCACAATACCTAAAAATAGCTTAGCATTCCTCCTTTTTGGTAAAGCTCCACCAGATGCTCCTGGTACCTTCTGGAATGAGAGAAAGAAACAATTAAAAATCCATCAAGCAAAACAACAGTAAATCAGCAATAGCCCCATAGCATCAATATTTCTGACACAAGTGTATTTATTCATGGTCCTTCTATTAAATCACAGTCCTTGCTAAGCAATAGAAATCTTCATTCATCTCTGACAGTGGGATTCAACTTATCGTTGCTTACTACCCTCATGGCATGAGAAAGCTGCCATCTGAATCCTTCACACTTTGCTTCATCAGCAGCTAAGCTGATCATGCCTCATGGGCAATAAAACAGGGACACCGAGCATCACTCAGACCTCTCACCACTAGATCCCCTCCAGTATTTCTGAGTGACTAAAACTGAAACAGAAAGAGGAAGAAAAAGCTGTTATCTGCATAAAAGATTCAATCCTTCGTAACTAATTCCACTAGGACCACTTTTGCTATTCAGAAAAAAATGTTCCTTCTATCAGGGTGCATGTCTGCTTCCACTAACACAAATCCAAGTCACCACTGTGCTTTCTTAACATGAAAGAATATGAAGAAAGCCTGACAACATCCAATCCATTTTTCAGGGTGATTTTTTTTTTTTTAATTTAAACTCCCCAGCAGAGAATAGTAACTTTCCAGTGACATGCACTTTCAAGCACTGCTTTCCCAATTCAAAATCTCTCAGACTACTAAGGAAAACACCAGTAGCTGAGGAAATGTAAAAGTAATGCACTTGCTTCTTAAGCTGCTTATTAACAGGCATCATTAAATAAAGTAAAATTAAATCCAATAAGCCTCTGTGACTATAATGCCAACATGGTGCACTATGTTAGGGTAACTAGTAAGGTTGTTAGGTGACTTTTTTTAAATAATAATATTGGAATACAACAGGTGGAGAGATAACAGCCAAGAACCTGTCAGCCTAAAGCAAGTTCAAGTCTGCCTCTGCTCTTTGGTACGTGAAAGGGTCACATATTTTGGGTGGTTCCCTTCATCATGTAAATAAAGCTTTGGCCAAAGAAGACTGCTTGAATCACCACTGAGGTCTTCTACATCATATGAAAGTTTTCCATTCTTAGAGCAGATGCCAATTAACACTTCTTGGCTGCACTAAAGAACAGATCCTATTATTCATATGTATATGAGCCCTAGGGAAAGGGAGTCTGGCTTGCAACTCCTCCATTATAAAAAACACCTCAATGAAGGTGACCATTTTTTTTCCATAATACTACTGAAAAGTAGCTCAATTACAAATATATTACTAATAAATTACACATACTTGTAGGATTATAGCTTCAGAACTAAAAAGAAGAATAAAATGCTGTTTCCAACACTAGGAAATTCCTATTGAATTCTGGTATCACCAAGTGGGACGCTGTGAACTCCACACAACTAGTTATTTCAAAGAAGATTTCACATGTAGTGGCTTTCAATAAATACCACTGACATTAAGTGTTTTAGCGTGATTTTCCAAACTGGTGAGTATATCTGAAGTGGACCTGCAGATGCATAATACTCCTGAAAAACTCAGAACCTGAATTTTTACCTTACTTCTCCTCCTGTCAGAAATCACTGAAAATGTTCCCTGTTCACTAACAATTTTGGCTTCTAGCAGATGTGACACACCCAGCAAGGGGGAGTCCACACAACTCATTGCCAATGGCATTAAATTGTTTGCAATGCTTCCTGTACAAGGTGCAGTGTAGCTTATGTTGCCTTCTCTTTAACTGCACCATTGCCACATTTTTTATATCAGCACCACTGAGTAACATCCAGGAAGCCATCACTGCAGGAAATGTCATGCTTCTTGCCCTGTGTTTTCAACAGGGCTGAGGTACCATGATAGCATCAATTCAAGGCTCTGCCTACAGCTGAATGCTACCCAGGCAGTTGTATGAAACAGACATACACTACAAGAGTGGCCAATTTAAAAATAATTAAAAGTAAAATTCAGGGGAAAAGAAAAACAAACAAACAACATTTTCTTCATATAGCTAAGAATTTTACCAGAGCACTGCAGAACTTGCCCTTGTACACATTTCTGATGATTCAGCAGATGCCTCTGGTGCTGACCTACCACTGGCAGATACTCTGGCTCTACTTAAGCCAACAGGCTGAAGACCTGACCCTTATTTTCTAATTGAATTGTGAGAAGATACACGACTCAAACTTAATCCAAACACCTTTGGAAGCAAAAAGGGATCTCTGCAGCAATGCAGTGCATTCTGCAAGGATCATGCCAAGTGAACCACAGGCAAGAATAGCAGCCTTACTAAAAGAATCTTAAGATAGCATATCCAATGCCTTTGGCTTTACTGTATCCCACACCATCAAAAGCTTGGCTTAAAACAACAAAACCACAACATGGCATGTGCCAGACACTTCATAAAACTGTTCCAGTGAAGGCCTGCTCAAAGGAAAACATAGATAGCACATAAGAAACAGTCACGGTAAAAAAAAATTCACAGCTAATGCATGAGGCATCCTAGCTATGGGCCATGTTAGATGACACAATCTTCACCTGTATGGTATAGTTACACACTGTTTCCTTCCACACCAATGCATTGCCACCTTCAAACAGATGCCAGGCCACTCTTCTATATCATGATTCACAATGAGAAAAATAGGAGACACTGAACCAATTCAATTGAAGGGACACAACAACAGCAAACAAAAATCAGTACATTTGCTTCTCCCTTTTGGAGTTCCTCAGCCTAGTCTTTACCCTGGAAAGGAATTTGAGGCCTCATTGTAACCCCAGTTTACCTTAATACTGAAAATTCCCATGTCGCGAGGAAGAACTTTATTTACAAGGAAAGCTGACAGGATTTCTGCCTACCTGTTTCTAGTCCTAGGTATCATCTATCAGGAGTTTAAAATTTACTCAGGAGAACCATTGCTAAAACTAGAGTAGGGTCTCCAAAACCTCCATTAACACTGTGAAGGAAAATGTTGCAATCACCCTTACAACAAAAGACAACTCTGAAGAACACCACACACATCATGAACAATCTCAACCTGGGAGACGTGCAAACCCCTTTGCTATAATTCTGTTAAAATATGAATAGTCAGCTACTGAAAATAGGTGGTCATGGCACTTTACATAACTTGAGGCCTTCATCACCCAGGGGAAACTGCTGTAGTATGAGAAAAGTGAAGTATTCTATCCCACTCCAAGCAGCTATTTTAGGCCATCTAACCTGCCAAAAGAGACAGAGCTTAAGGGGGCATGAGCTATAAGCAAACCCAGTGCCTTCCACATAGCTCAGGTCACAAGTCATTAACAGCCTTTTAGAGCTGCCAGACAAACCACACACAAACAGATGTTATAAAATGCAACATACTGTTGATATGCAGTGATATTATGGAAGAACAGTGAGCAGAAATTTGAACGTATACAGCCCTGTGTGCAATGGGTGTAACACAGAATCAGGGCAGTGTGTGGCTCTAGAATCCACCATTAATTTCAGCTAAGCTTTAGATCCCAGGCCAGGACAGAGGTCATGATTCAATTGCACAGAAATCTTAGGATGAAAAGAAGTCCTGTCACCCTGAGACCAAACCTCATATTAAAAAAAAAAACAACCAACAAAAACAAACAAAAAACCCCCCACAACCACAAACTCAGAAGCTTCCAACCAAATCTGAGCAAAAAATAGTAATTCTACACTTCAAATGCAGGTTTCAGAATAGTATTTAGTTACTTACAGTATGCATACAATATGCAGACAACATGTATGTGATACATAGAAGTGTGTAGTAAAGTTCAATGGAAGTCAGGCAACAAGTTGCCTTTAGGGCTTTTGATTAATTTCAGAACTGAAGCAATAGGATTGTTTGGGATCCAAGCACCTGAATTTGAAGCCCAGCTCCAAATCTGCATATGTTCATTTCTGTCATTCAAGATTTGGTCTATGTCTGAAATGCATTACATACATGAGCACCCAAGAACTGCCAGGGTAGCTATTTGAAAAGCCAAAAGTCTCACCTCTATCACGTGTCGTTTCAGATGCAAATATACGCACTGTCCTGTTTTCCGGTAATGCCTTTCAATGTGTTCCCTTCCAAATCCCAGAAACGTGTTCATGCACACATACAGACCTCCTTCTGAATCCTGAAAGGAGTGACAGAAATAGTTTCAGCAGAGAAGAAACGGAACAGGTCAGGAAGGGCTCAGCAAGCAGAAAAAAAACCGCAAAAAATTGTAGACCCTTTCTGTTAGCAAACAAGCACTGAAAATGTGGCTTTTGTAGCACATTGAAGTGTTCACATTATCAGTCCTTTAAGAAACTTCCACATCATATCACAAGAATTGAAACTCATTGAAATGTTTTACTTTACAACTACAGATTAGTGAGTGTCCCAATAGGAGGTCTAGAAGTTAGTCTTGAAAAACTTCACTTGAGCACATAATCCACAGAGATTTGTAGCCACAGAAGTTTGTAAAATATAGAAGTAATGAAGCACAGAAGAGTGAAAGAGAACAACTCTTTTTGTCCATTTGATTGCAAGAACATTTCAAATCAGATACGTGGCAGAGCTGATGGTGCAGGGATTCAGCCAGAACTTCTACTATTGATCACAATCTTATCCAAGCAGCTCTTAGAACTAGCTAACAAAATACTGGCAAGCATTTTGTGAACACTCTTCAGTATCTATCAGGGCTTCTTTCTATTCATGCAATTAGTATGTTTGAAGACAAGGCCAGTACAAAGGAAATACATATATCCTGGTACTGATCACAAAAGCTGACATTTCAGTAACATAACTTGGCAGGAGTCCCATCACTTTTTTTCTCTCCCAAAAGCTGGGTGTTGATGCTGGCTGTTATCAGGGTCTTGCTTCATTTCAGTACTGCTCCCAGATCTCTCCCACATCACTCTGACTGTAAGGAAAACTTCCAGTCATTTGGTTCATTGACATTGGATCATTTTTTTAAGGCCTCTCTAGCATGTACTGTTTTGAATAGGTGGTGCAAAACAAAAACTTGAGTCTTTCAGAAATGCTGTGACTTTTTTTTGTATTGTGAATTTTTTTGTGTTATTGGACAGTAAAAAACATCTCATGCTGAACTCCTCAAAGAACAACATGAGCTGAACTCATCCATAGGCACCTTAGAAATAATTTTTTTAAAAAGGTCATTATCTCAAGAAACAAAGTTAGGCCCATACATGTGCATAATCATGTCATGAGAATTAGAGCAACAGGATACCACCAGGTAATGCAACTCCTGGAAGATACTCGATACTTTAAACCAAGAAGTTCTCTTCTGCCTGGCCTACTGACTTGATTTGAGCCAGGACAGAAGTAATTTTCTCTGTAGTAACTTTACTCTTCAGTTAAGTCTATTTTAAGTAACTGCACTTTCTGAAGTTAGCAGCATGTTTTTCAGTGGCTGCTTCTAGGACTGATAACACTCGACACTTGTAGCTGGTGCTGGGGAATGGTATGCAGAGCCAAGGTCACTGCTTTGTTCTGCTAAAATTCTAATGCACCAGAAACCAAAGGCAAGGAAAGTGGTCACACCTGCAACCTCCTGTGAGGAACAGCAGGTGACCCAAAATTGATCAAAGTATTTCATCCCATACACATCATAAATCTGGGAGACCATGAGGGTCAAGTTCTCTTTGTCCCTGGCCAGCATCATGATAGGACTCTGTTGTTCTGCCTTTGATCCCAATCCACGTGTTCCTGAGTCCAGTTCCCATCTGCCACTGAGTCCAGGACTTTCCCAGTGCCTGCCCTGCAACCTCGGTGGTGACATGAACATTACTGGGGTGGGAGAGGGAGAAGTGTGATATTGGTTTTATATATATTTGTACATATTCCATTATATTCTTTTTCATCATTACTGTTTTCATTCAAGCTGTGTACTTTAGTTTCCAGCCTGTAAGTCTCTCTCCTTTATTCTCTTTACTTTCACTTTCTGGGAAGGGAAAGGGAATAAAGAGCATCTGTCATTCATTTAATTGCCAGTTAAAACTTGGCACATACCTCTCTTCAAGCAGGAATCTCTCCTCTGCCTCTGAGCCCTGCTAGGCCCCTCTCAGAGCAAGCACAAAGCTGCTCATCCTGCAGCGCCAGTCATGGCACAAGTTAAGCTCTGTCCAGACCTGTGGACTGGAAAAACTGGTAGAGGGCAAGTCAGAATGAGATCATAGCTGATCCCTAAGACTTCCCTAACCAGTACCAGATTAATACACCTTATTATCTTCCAGAAAATGAAGCTGAAGGGTTAATAGTGTTGTTGCTCATTTGATACCTGTCACAGACCAGCTGGGACCTCACAAGTCTCTTCCCTCCCACCACTGCCCCAAAACCAGCCTTGAATATGCCACTCTAAACCCAGTTAATTCTCCCCAATCCATTTCAAAGATTAGCATGAAGTATTTCTGTAGGGCTTGAAGGAAACTAAATGTTTAGCTTACCTACAATCCTTACCTACACCTGTATGCTACTCTTTGAAGCAAGCTAATATTTCCTGATTTAACTAAAGCCAGAACTGAAGAACAGCCTCCAACACCATTAAATACTGGTACTTGTACAGAGTCCAGCAGAGCCATGGAGGAGACAAACAGGACAGGAAAAGAGACTAGAGAATGATGTTTTAACCCAAAACTGTAGAAAATATCCATCTCTTCTGCTTTTCTTAATGTGAACCAACACATACAAACTTCAGCTTTTCAGATTTAGCTGCAAGTTGAACATGTAATGATCTATACAGCTGTTGCTTTAACTACTCAGAAGGACAAAAAAATTGCATCAAGCATTCCAGGATTCAAATGCAAAATCTGAAGCAAGAGTTTAGACTATCTGCCATTCACACTTAAAATACATTGTGCAGTCACTCTTTCAGCATTTAGATATCACAAAGACTGTCTCTCTGCAAGGCAAATTGTGAAATGTTCAGCCATCTCATTTCTGATACACATAACCCCTGAGATTCTATTTACCAAAAAAACCCAGAGCTCCTTTGAATGTGAAATGTTCACAGCTTTGAGAGCAGGGCTGATACCTACAATCATGTCCAAAAGTAATACAGTAGTTAGAGGAAAACATCCCCTTTTGATATTCAAAACATTCATAAAATACAATTGCATTTAACACGTGTTACATTTATTTTAATTTCCACTACTCTTCCACAATTTTTTCTACTTTAAGGCCCATTATACCTTTGCTGTCTGCTCTTATGTTCTGTATTCCAAATCCTTTTATATTATGTCCTTCTACAAGAGAGTCATAGATGTGTCTGCTACAAGAGGATCCTATAGGTTCCCAGCCTAAATAAAATATATAGTGTTGTCACTCTGGGGTCTCAGGAACTTTGTTTACAAATTTGTTTTCTTGGAGACTATTTTCTCATTTTCTGGAGGAAATCCAAGAGACCACTGAACTGTTTCTGATAAGCAGCCTATGACAATAATCTCACACTTTCAGTATATGAGCTAAATGTAGCATCTGAGTAAGTTGGTTGTGGTTACTAGCAAAACAGTTCTCTCTCCTAGAGAACACAGGCTATCCTTTCATGCAATTTGGAAAGAGCTGGACAAACTGTTCAAAAGTCTAAAAGGTCACAGGAAAAAAAAAAAAAGTCACCTTTGCAGAAGACTGTATAAAGGATTAGGTCCCTGATTGATGCTCAAAGAACACTCACTTATGATCCAAGACTGGCTTTGTAGTGGTGAATTTAACCCTCCTAAGCACACAAACATCCTGGAAGGAACAATATTTTACATAGGCTGTGGCATGCAACTCTTTGTAATTAACATTCATTTTAGATATGTGTGAAAATTTACACTGGAGGAAGGCAACCTATCTACAGTACCGAATACACTATCTTACACCAGAAAAATATAGCTTGTCCTGAGAGAAAAACCCTGGAATTTTAGCTGGTTCCACACACCATACCCACTCAGCATGTAGTAGATATGTAGCGTGGAGTTAGGATAAAGTAACATACCGACATTGCCTTAGTTACTCCAATCTAAAGACATTGTTGGGACAAAAAATGTCAATCCAAAGGAAGTGTGCCACAAGCCACATTAGTTGTTGTTCTGGACAACTGTCCTCTGTCACCCAAATGTGGCAAGAAAGCAATGGTGACAAAAGAAAAGCAAAGAAAAAATAATAAGAGGTAAAATTTGGCATCTGGTAAAGAGGAGGAGAAGGAAAACCAACAGAATCAGAAAAAGGAATAAAACAGCAGAGACATACACAGGGATTGATGTGTAAATATATACAAACAATGAAGAGGAGCCATGTGCTACTGAAACTGGTGAAAGACAAGAGAAATGGGAAAAGAAGAGCTGGGTTGAGCAGAGGCAGAAAACAAATGATCTGGCAGTAGAAAATAAAGAACAGGGCTTCTAATAACTGGATTGTTATCTTCAAGTGCAAAATAAATCTTTCCCCCATCCTCCCTTGAAAAAAAAAAAAAAAAAAGGTTATTTTTTACTATTTTACACACTTCGTGACAGCAACATGCAAAGTACAGAACAGCTTGAAGAATCTACACATTGCTGAAATAAAAAATTTATCAGGAGTCCAGGGTTCTGATGTTATGTGGACAATCAGCTAAATTATAACAGCAAATATATTAGTTTTGAAAGGTTTAAAATCCTCCAAGTTCTGGTCTAAATTCCAACTGCTAGGCATGGCACCGGATGTTTCCCTACAAGCAAATTATTTCACAATTGCTTAACAAAGATGTCCAGTATCTTCATTGTAGCTTATAGATGAGCAGGCACATGGATAAGGCCAATTCAGTACAGCACTTGAAACATTTCCTGGGAAGAAGAGAGACACATAAGCCAATCAGTTACTAAAATGAAATCAAACCACCATCCCAGGAGATGGATCAACTGCTCACTCACATGCACAAATTATGGGTGGGCTCCAGAGACGGGCATACGTAATTCTGAAGCATTTTCTTGTACAAGTCACATTCACAGGCAGGAACAAGCCTTCATGGTAAACGAGCAAATACAATGGCAAAACTAACATTAGGTCATGAGTACTTCTAACCTGCAACCTGGAATACAGAACCTCCATCCATCAACAGTGTTTGGGGTCAGATTATCCAGGTGC